AGATTTCAATGTATTTCTTTGGGAGGCTTAAACATTCTATCTATAGCATTCCACCCCTGACCCTCCAAAGTTCAACCTATAGTACATCTAATGGGATATTATTCAGTCTTAAATGAAAGGAGGTCCTGTTTCATGCTACAACCTTGAGGACATTGTGCTCAGCGATATAAGCTGGTCACAAAATACAATTATGTACGATTTCATTTACATGAGGCATCTAAAGCGGTCAAATTCATAGAAACAGAAAGTAGAATGGTGGGTAGCAGGGGTGGGGGTGGGAAAAACGCGGAGTCCTTGTTTGATGGGTAAAGAGTTTCAGTTTTACATGAAGACAGAGCCCTGGAGATCTGTCACACAACAAGGTGAGTATTTTTAATTCTACTGAACTGTGTACTTAACAATGCTAAATTCCTTAACTGGTAGAATATGGTAAACTAGTTAAAACTGATACATTTTATGTTATATATAATTTGCCATTTTTAAATATGTCAAAAAACCACACATTTTCCTTTAGCTTGAAGAACTTACTTTAGTGTTTGTATTAAATAATCTACTGGAATTCAAGGATGTTTGCTTCTTTTATCTTGAAATATTCTTTCAATCTATTTTTTAATCATATATTGTCTCGGGTGTGAAATCTGGGTGATGAGTTTTTAAAACTCCTTTAAAGACATCACTCCATCATCTTCTGACTTACAGTTTCTTGTCAATGTCATCTTTTTTATTATTCTCTCTCCATGGAAGGGAACTATTTGTAATTTTCAAAATATTTGGCTGCTTTAAAAGTTTCTGTATTGCCTTTTCACAAAAATTTGTGCTATTAGGTGCTAGGGGAAAGGGGTGACAGTGAGGTTTTCACACCTGGAGCTGCCTGCTTCCTCTGCCCTCCAGGAAAGGGGCACAGGGAGGCGTGCATGACCTCTAGCTCTATACCTTCTCCTACCCCTGGGAGAATGTGAGCAACAAATTCAGTCCTCTCCTCGCTCATGGACTCCAGATAAAAATGTACAAACAGAATCCAAGTCATTTTAATTCCTCAAGGATCAACAAGTGCACCCTGACAACTAGACTCACTCAGGTTGTTAGAGAAGGGGAAGCAGAGGGTACTTGCTTCCCACAGAGGAAGGGTCTCCTGTGAGATGTATTCCGGACCATAAAAATGCTGACTGCATCTTATCCAGCAGAGGGACTTGACCTTGGGTTTCCATCCAGGCTTTGGGTGAGCCAGACCTTTGCTGAGAAGCTGAATTAGAGAGACACCCTTGGGCCTGTGGGGTTTTGTTGGTGCATCAGTGCATTAATCTCTTAGGAACCCCCAAATCACATTCCTACAAGGCAAGGCAGGTATGGTAAAGGCTTGGCCTAAAGAAAATTACGGGGAAGTGAGGTGATGAACAGCTCCAAAAGTGTATACATCCAAAATTATTAGTAGTAATTTTATGTCATGTGAATTTCACCTCAGCAAAAAGTTGTACTATTTGTTTTGAAAACACACACACACTCACACACACACACACACACACACACACACACACCTTTCTCTGAGCTGAAGCCTCTAGCCCTTCTTGCACATGAAAATGGTGGCTTCTTTCCCCCAGTTCATTAGTCTGGGTTAATTTATCTTTATTAGGATGGGTTGGCGCTCCTGAGGTGGGCCAGCCGGGCCTCTTGTGTGCCCTTGTGGCCCACCCTGCCTGGTACAGGTTATGGGCAGTTTCCTCTTCTGCCCTTGTCTATAGCTTGTGGCTTCTGGTTGCAACTTCCTCTCCTGTCACCCCTCCACGTCTGTTCCTCACTCCTAGCAGACAGGACAGAGTGTGACGTTAGGGAAATGAAGCAGTCTTGGGGCAACATCTGCAATCTCCAGCCGCAGAGATGCCTCTAGTATCGGGTGGGAGGAAGGCCAGAGGGGACCAGGAGTGGAGAGAGGGCCTGGAGGTTGAACCAATCGCCAATGTCCAATGATGTAACTAATCATGATTATGTAATGGAGCCTCCATAAAAACCCTCAACGACAGGGTTCAGAGAGCTTCCAGGTTGGTGAGCCCTTGGGGGTGATGGGAGAGTGGTGACCTCAGAGAGGCCATGGCAGCTACATGCCCCTTGCTTCATACCTGGCCTGTGCACCTCTTCCGTCTGCCTGCTCCTGAATTATATAAGTTAAACCAGTGACCTAGTAAGT